TGTTATAGTATTTTTAAAACTAGTTTCCTATTCTCCATAAATATTTTAAGTATATTATTTATTAAATCATACCACAGTTGTTTTGACTTCTAATAATTACCAGAAATGGAAGTCTTTTGATATTTACATTAAAGTTGATTAAACTTATAATCTAAAATTATTGCCTAACAATATAGATGGCTGCTAATTCTCACCTCTGAGGGCCATTCTATTAATCATGAGTTCTCCTAACAGTATAATAGTCATTTGTTTCTACCCCACATTGATTCTTCTTCCCTCTTCTCTTACAGAACCCATAATTTCCCTAGAGAACCACTGATGCCTCCAACCTCAGTCCATATTTGGATGGGTTGACTCTACCTAGGGCCAAAGGTAGGCATGTGACTTAGGCCTGGGCAATCAGAACTTAGACTTTCCCTGACCATCGTGACTGATCCAGGGATAGTACAGATGATCCAAGTCAGTACAGTGAGTCTATACTCTAGGATGTTTTTTCCAGCTTATAACTTTCTACTAAGGTTTCCAAGAAGACAGAAATATATACTGGAGCTTCAGGAGGTTCTCAATACTACAAGGGGAGAGTCTTCATGAAAACGGAGGAAGCAGAGTCAAGAGACACTGGAAAAAGCCCTAGGGGCATCTTAGGAGCCCCTGGATTCAGATCCACTCCTCACTCTGTAAGTCACATGCACAAAAACAAACATCTCTTTGTCATTTGGGCCTTTTAAATTGGGTATTTTTTCATTTGTAGCCAAAGGAATCCTGACCAGCAGAGAATCATTATGTAGCACATGGTGTCCTTCATTCTTGTCATGTATGGATGATAAAAATAGTATTTAAAAATTGTATATCAAGAAACCATTCTCTAACATACCTTGTCTGTCTGAATCAGCAGCATTTTATAACTGGGAGAAAACATCAAATGTTTCACAGGCCTTTCAACTTCAAGAAAATCTTCTATTTTGTAAGAACTTGAATCTTTAACAGTGAGAGAGTACACGAAACCATCCTGTAGACCAATACAATGAGGTATGTGTGGGACATCAGCCTTGGTCAATGCACAGTACACAATCCTCATCGGATAAGTAAAGGCTTCTGGGTAATCATCTATTAATTATTTGGAAGCACTATCTGTATTTACATTATCTAGAACACACTGTCCTTTCACCTTTATTGAGACACTTTAAACCAGTCTTCAGTTGTATCTCGTTTGTGATGCATTTTCAATTAACTTAAAATTTTACTGACCATTCCTTTCTTTCAGCATCTCTAGCCTCTATCATCTCACCATATTTTCACTAAACAGGAAGTGGGACAGATGAGGCTGTTTGTGCTACTTGTGTATAGCAGTCACCTTACTTCAAAGGACACTAGCCCTAAGTGAGTGTGTTCTTTAATCATTATTATATGCATTTTGTATCTCCCTAAATGACCCAAGGGTAGGAACATGCCTTTTCTTACATTTATAGCCTCTTCTCCAGTTCTTCCCATAGTGGTAGAATGTGGCAAATGTCTAATAAAAATGGGTTGTTTGATTGATCAGCTGTAAACAGGTTTAACTACTCTCAAGGGGAATTGAGTTATTTTTATATAATTAAGAGGCTCTGGATAAATGTGTTCATCATCTTCTAAAATGGATCCCAGTATAGCAAAGAGGCATTTGTGAGATGGCTGGATTCAGATGCTTGAGACCTGGGAGGTGACTGAGATATGCAGGTTTGTTCTCCAAGCTCATTATCATTCTCCACCCCTTACCACAGCAAATGTTATGATCATATAAAAGCAAATTAAAACAAACACTTAGGTGAGGGTGGCCTTGAAGCAGATAAGAGTCACAAAAGCCATAAATTCCAACTAAATGTTGAGGAAAAAAGAGGGGGTAGTCCACTGCATAGCTGGGGAGGGAATTTCAAGCTGAGTATAGGTGCATGGGCCCCAGATGGCTTCTCATTAGTGGAAATACATCTTTCACCCTGATGTCTTTGCCTTACTTCCCTCAGGGCCCGAGAGATGTGATTTGTGGCAATGGAACAAACAAAGCTAACAATGGATGAGGGACAGCTACATCTAGACCTGAGATTTTAGTATTGGTCAGTTACAAACCTTAGTATTGATACAGGAGCAAAGGAATACATGCCCTGGCTCTAATTCATACTTCCTAGGGCTGTGTGCTCTAATACATGGCAGCTTAGACTTTAGAGTCTGACAGCCATGGGTCAAGCCTACCTCCTCTACTTACTTTCTGGTGACCTCTGAAAGACTTGGTTCTTTTATCTGTATGGGGAGGATAAGGTTGATGTGAGGACCAACAAGGTCATACAAGTAAAGCACTTAGCATAGTGCCTAGCATGAAGTAAATGCCAAGTAAATAGTAAATAGGGCTATTAATCATTCTAATGTCTGCAGCAGTGACATGATACATGTAGGCTAAAACGGCCACATGCACAAGAGCCCGCGCTGAAGCTTAGACGAAAGGATCCAAATTCATAACTGACAACCTAATATATTATTGCAGAAACAATATGGAAACCTCTTAGATGGTTTTGGATGGGAGGAAATGGCTTTTTAACTTTATTTTGGTTTATTTGCAATAAGATAGTTCTATGGTAGTTCACTGTAACACAACTCTCTCCTTTTGCATCAAATTGAAATTCTTCATAATAAAAACTTTTGTAATAGCATCCAAAGGGGAAGCTATTTGAATTAATAATCTGAAAGAGCTTGGTATCCCAAAATATGACCCCGGTAAGTGGCAACAAATGGAAATTATATTTTGTCCTGAAAGCAGTTAATTTTGAAAAATAAAATACATTACAATTCCAGAAGCAAGGACGCCTTCCTTCTGATATACCATGGTGACGGGACTGAAAAGATGTGGTACATCTTTTGGAAAAGAAAAAACAAAAAGCATAAAGTAGGCAGCATATAGTTAAAAGCATAACTTGACAATAAATAATAGAAAGTGCTCAGTACTGATTAGTCTGCATTTTACGGTATGTAAATTTGTACACCAACAAATAAACCATAATGGACAAAAAGACGGTGCAGAGAAGAAAATGATCTAGAAGAACATTTATCATTAATAAAGCATTGTCCTTGGAGGAAAACGACAAGAGTGTATTACTTACAAAACTCAACTACAAGGGCTCAGATAGGACCCGTCAAATTATTAGTTTACTGCATACCTCATGCTTAACAGCTGGCTGCTAAGAAGCATCATGTCCTTTCCCTCAAAGACCACTCACCTCCCAGGACCCCTTTCTTTTTCCATCCACCTGTCACTAGAGTCCAGATTCTCATGGCTACTGGCCTGGTGCAGGTGCCTGCATTCCTGAACAATGGCTACATTAGTTTGCCCAAGCACCACCATTCCAGCTGAGGTACACCCCCATTCATCTGCAGTGTTTTGATATCTGCCTGTCATCAGCTAAACTGATACAAATGCCTTAGGTGGGCATGAGAGGAAGGTCAGATATGGTATGGATGCCCCTTCATTCCTCATTATTCTCTTTTAACACTAGGTGTTCCATACAAGCTGCACTGCTTCCTGTTTCTTGACTTTCCCATGTTTTCTTCTCCATCCAGACACCATGGCCATCTACCCACATCTCTCCCACAAGCTTCCCCTTCAAAAGTCAGTTCAAATGCAACCATCAAAATGATATCAGAAGGTTTAAAATGATTAAAATGAATAATTGATAATTTGAAATAGGAAAAAAGGTCCAAAGATGAAGG